TTGAAAGATTCCACGTCGGATATTCAGACGGTTGGATATGGCAGTTCCTCTGGTGTGACTAAGGTGTAGTTTGGTGTTCCACATTCCCATGCTGTGCTTAAGGAAATTTTATACCACAGGGGAGACTTTGTACATTTCCAAAGTCTTAAGGATCTAAGAATGTGTAACACTATCAAAACTATCGATTATCAATCCACGCTAAGATTTCTACGTGATCAACTTATACGTTGTGGAGAGACATGTTATCGGTCTATAATTTTTCGGGTCGTCTATTTCAGTTGTTTTTGGTATGAGGTATGTAATACCTTCAGTTATCCATTCCGGGATTTTATTGGGATTATTTACAAGCGTTGATAATGTTTTTGCAATAATTTCATGGGTAGATGAGAGATGATACAGCCAGAAATTGGGTAACTTGTCATTTCCTGGGGATTTCCATTTTTGGGATTTCGTTAGAGCTTGCCTAACATCATCTGTGGATATATTTTCCCATTCTTGCAGAGGTGTATCCAGCATTCGTTCTTCTTCACGCCGGATCCATTCTGCATTTGGGTTATATTCCTTTGGGCTGCTCCAAGTATTTTCCCAAAATGTCTGTACATTATCAATCGATGGTGGCCTTTCGACATGTATAGTTTTTTTTTTTCCAATTTCCCAGTAAAATTTCTTAAGATCCGTTCGGAATATCTTATTTTGGCGATAGAACCTACAACGTTTTTCGTATCGTCTTGTTCTCTGCGCCTTTAGCTGAAGTTTCTGCTACAGCATTTCTTTGATTGATGGAATATCAGTTAGGGATTTAATGTTATATTTCCGCTTGATCTTTTTGGATTTACGTGTGGAAATATTAGGATTTCTGGTGAGCACATCTAATATAGAAAGCTCACATCTGATTTGTTTTATTTCACGTATCAGTTTGGTTTTCCAAGCTGGTTCTCTGTGTCTGTTAATTTTATTTATTGTGTTGATCCCAAGCTTCCGAGTCGCTGCTAAAATTATTATTATTAAATGAGAGAGTTTAACAGATGCAAACAAAACACGCGATGTGGGATATCTGAAAATCAGATAGAATGTTGTCCCCGTTTTTCCCTTAAGCAAGAACATCACAAATAATTAATAAAACAAAAGAAAAATTGTGACAATGACAAGCTTACTACACCAAAATCTGTAGCTAATTCTAATATATATATATATATTGACACATCCGGTCTACAAGCCTCTCCCCTCTTTCATAAAAAGGAAGAAACGTTATATATATATATATATATATATATATATATATATATATATATATATAGGGTGACCAAAAAAACGGGAACTTTTTAATAATCCAATATAACCAAGAGTGATGGAAGAAAAATATTTTATTCATAGTAATTGAAACCTTAATAAGATGCCATTTAAGAAACAATGATGGAATTTTCATTTTTTAAAAATAACGTCCTGTAGATGGCGTCCTCCTGTACGAATGCATTCTTGAAATCTGCTTTTGAGATTCCTCATTGACTGCTGCAACATCTCAGCTGGGATACTGTGAATTTCATCTTGAATTGTAAATGGCGTAATATTTACTTGCTCAAGGTTACTGTTATATATATATAATTATTTATTCGAAAATTATAGCATAAATATGTTATAAAAGCACTACAAAAATAGCAATTTTCTTTCAACACTTCTGGCGTCTTATCAAGTGATGGTGTTGAATGTAGTATAAAGGGTTTTAAAAAGGATCAAATCAATTAAACGTCCCTCGCTATGGGAAACACTGTTACATAAGCTGGAATGACCAATCAAAATACAAGTATACAAGGATTCAAAAAACTTGACAATTATTTAATGCTTTAATGTTAGGGTTAGACTAAAATGGAATTCATTCTAACTAATAAATATTAAATTATACGATAAAATTTGAAATTAGAAATTAAAAATTGCCTATTTTAAAATTTAAATTTGGTCTATATTAAGTTTAAAATTATAAAATTATTGGGAAAAAAGAAAAATACATGTTATTCTATTTATTTTGTTTTTATTGAAATTAAGTTGGAATAAAGGTTAAGATCAAATGTTGCTCGAACCTCATGACAACATATATATATATATATATATATATATATATATATATATAATTAATATAAATAAAAATTATACAAACTTGTAGACGAACTTTGTGCAATTGTTCACTCTTCAGGAGACATCAGTAAATAACTAATAATAATATATATATATATATATATATATATATATATATATATATATATATATATATATATATATATATATATATATATATATATATATATGGGGGGGGATGAGTGTGTATGTAACCATATCTAACAGTCTCTCCCCTTGGCGCCTCTCGCGCCTCACGCCTTTTGAACTCTCTTCTTCTGGCTTTTGGCTTTCTAAACTTTTGATCTTCAAAAAATTTACACGCAATATCAATCGTTATATTCTGTCTTCTTAATTTCTGTGTTTTTAATGTTCTCTCTCCTTAATCATGTTCTCTTTTCTCATATCCTTACACTCTCATTAACTCCTTCGTGTCTTTTATTACCTTCCTTGGGTGAAATGTTTACATATATATATATATATATATATATATATATATATATAATGTTGTCTATTTTTTAAATTTCAAGATATATGATAAATTCTCCTGTAGTTTTTTTATATCTAAGTGGGCATTCACTCTTAAAATTAAGTTGGCATGATATTCTGCTAGTGATTTTTTGTTTTTTTTTTGTGTAATAAAGTGGTGGAATATATATATATATATATATATATATATATATATATATATATATATATATATATATAATGATTAAATAGCTGGTATGTAAGGTGGAATATATACAAACGAGATTGATGTTTAAAATTATAGTTATTATCAGACCCAACATTTGTTCATGTATATATATATATATATATATATATATATATATATATATAGTGTTATCTATTTTTGGAATTTCATGATATATGATAATTGTAATGGGTATTATAACTTCAAAAGAGAAACGAGATGTCGAAAAGTTATTGGGTGATGGAAAAATATAGATGGAAAATGCGAAAAGCTGGAGTTAGAACAATTACAAGTTTTAAAAAAAAAAGAAAGGGAATGAAAACATTGGCAAGATAAGAACAAGACAAAATCTGACATTAAAAATGTCATAAAAAACGATCAGAAAAAAATCAAAGCGTAATGAACAAGAGGATTAACATAACCTGACTTATAAGAAAATATATGAAAAATACATATTACTAGTGTCTGTAAAGAGAAAAGCAAAGTATTGAGGACTTTTAGGTTAAAACATCAAAGTTCAAGTAAACATGCGATTCTCGCCAGACAATGCCAGAAGTCTCAAGTGATCACTAAGTACCTTTGATCTAAAAAGAGTTGATCTGTGGTGACACGGATATGTACACGTCTCTTCCTAATTGATACCAAAGTAAGATATATACTCAGTATTACAGACCTCGATTCATCCAAAGGTTAACCTAGAAGATATTTTTATAGCCAGCAAATCGGGCTTCAAAGCATGACTACATAGACATAAACTGGTTTGTTACCCCTACTGAACTTAAGATATACACATAAATCAAGCAGATGACAGGACGTTGTTTAAACGCCTAAATCATGATGGAAAGGTAGAAGATCGAGTTGACTAACTTTAACTGAAACAATAATTTGATATATGAAATATTAAGTCGCATGTTCTTACCGGACGCTAGGAACATAAAATTACAACATATAATTACAAGCGTATAAGTTAAACAAGGAAATACATTATTTACATTATTCGGACTATTGTCCTCATCTTTGTCGCCATATTTATTACAACGTTTCGGCCGTTGTACGCTCCAAGCATAGAAATGAATACAATATGGGAACCAGTAATAAGGAGTGCCAGAGAAAAGCAATAATGACAACAGAAGTTGCAATATGAGCTCTGGTAAAAACATAATTGATAACAGCAAAAATTGCAATATGAGTACTGGTAAAAATGGTTGCTGAGACATTAGGTTTATAATACTCAGAAATTCATACACAGATGTCCTCAAGGAGACAGTGGATAAAGGCGTTGGTTAGATCCAGTGACAGGACCCAAAGAGTGTGAGTTCAATACCCGGTTAAGGCAGTGGAGAACTTTCAGAGGGAAAATTAACAGGAGATAACTGATAACTGACATCCATTAAACATGTTACGTGGAACTAGAACAGTCTACCCTCGTGAGCGAAATAAAGGGTTCAGTTCGACATTCCAACCACCTAAAGAAGGCCGGAGCGTACAACGGCCGAAACTTTGTAATAAATATGGCGACAAAGATGAGGACAATAGTCCGAATAATGTAAATAATGTGCATAATACCTCATCTCAGAAATATAGACAGATAAAGACGGAAATGCATGAAAACTGATTTATCAAAAGTACTATTTAGCGATTGACAGAGAAATGCATTCAATGGATCTGATGTCTGAGCTGAAGTTCGTGTTTTATTAAAATAACGAGGCAACATGTTTTAGCCCTCTGGGTTTAATGTTTTCCACCGACACGAATCAATTACTAAAGCTGCCACTAGAAAAACAGATTCACAATGTCGTGCTCGAAATTTTTTCTCGCCAGAATCTGTCTTGCAGTTTTATAACTCTACCTGATCTGGTCTGATATGCATCGAGAGATTCTTGACTGAATACAAAATCTACAGTGTCATCGCTGCTGGCTTGGTGTCTCAAGGCTTGTCACTTTCCCACCCCACCGTAATATTATTATTATTATTATTATTATTATTATTATTATTTTTATTTTTATTATTATTATTAATATTAATATTATTATTATTATTTATTTCCTTCTCGTTCCTGCTTAAAACTTGAAATTTATATCTTTTTCTTTCTGTATATCTATTTTTGTATTTCTTCATATGTACGCGGGAAACTATCTATCTATATATCTACCTATCTATCTTAGATATCTGTCTGTAAATAACTATCTATCCCAGTTTACCCATATCTATATCTGTTAATATTTTTCTATCGATATCACTTCCTATCTATCTATCTATCTATCTATCTATCTATCTATCTATCTATCTATCTATCTGTTCATATCTATCTCAGTCTTTTCACTGTCTGTCTTTCTTTCTATCTATCTATCTACCTATCTATCTATCTATCTATCTATCTATCTATCTCGGTCTCTTCACATACACCTATCCCAGTCTCTTCACATCTATCTATCTATCTATCTATCTATCTATCTATCTATCTATCTATCTATCTATCTATCTCAGTCAGTTCATATTTATTTATCTCTGTTCTTATATTCTATGTCTGTTCAGATCTATCTGCATATCTCTCTTTCTCTCATTATATATATATATATATATATATATATATATATATATATATATCAGTCTGTTCAGATCTATCTAACTCTTTTCACATCTCCCTGTCTATTTCATTCTGTTCATAAGTTTGTATGTCTGTCTATTTTTATTTATCTTTCGAGCTTTATTCATTCACGTTCCCCTACTCTTTCTGTCTATACCCCCTCCCCGAAGACAAATGGACTACATGGACCTGAGCCGAATAACCATGGAACCAGTTTTTTGCTACCAACGCATGATGGTAGTGGACTGCGTTAGATTGTGCGAACACCAACCCCACATACCATCGTCAAGGGGGGGAAAAGGACTTACGACCACAGATATGTGTATATAAAAACTATTATCCTGATAACTGATTCCAGTTCCACTTGTTGACATTGCAAGCAGCAGAAAACATTCAGTGTCAGTAACGACCCCCCCCCTTGTTAGCTGCCGAATATGAAAACCCATGGAATGCTTTTGACGTTGTAAAACGTGTTGAAACTGGCGGTTTGAGCGACACAAGTGTTAAATCGAGCGGTAATTTGGAATTCGCATATTACTGTTATATACTAGGATCCGAGAAAAAACCTCGAAGATAATGCTCCATCTTTCTGGTCGCCAAACAAAAATACTACAATGGTAATGCTTTCAACATCCCGGGTTGGCCTCGCTTTCATTTGCCTCGATAAAGTCTATGAGTGGACGAAACGCGTCTGCTAAGATAAGTTTTCATTTAGTCTTTATTCATATTGTCTTTTCACAGATATATTTTGTTACATCTGTATTTTTACACAAACACACACACACACACACACACACACATATTAAAACTTCTGTGTGTGTGCGTTTAGTAGTAGTATTAGTAGTAGTATTATTAGCAGACCGATGATAGAAATTCAAAAAAGAATTTTTATTATTATTATTAACAAAATAGAAGCATGGTGAGAAAATTATTAAAAATGGAATTTTCGGACACGACTGTATCTTTTGTCAAAGAAAAATGAAATGAAGTTGAACTCTGTTTTTGGAACAAAACATTTAAAGAAAGTTCTGTTGCGCATGTGTAGATTTACTGTGATTGAGACTTGATTCAAGAATACAGCGTTATTTATGAGTTGGTCTATATTATTATAACCTAGCAAGGTGATGCAAGGTCATTTTTGTTGCTGTCTGTTTGTTTTTATTCAATATATATATATATATATATATATATATATATATATATATATATATATTATATATATATATAGTCGAAAACTAGTCGAGGAATCTAAATGGAATAATAAAAAAAACGAAAGAATATTAATCTACAACCCAGTGTGTCAAAAGATTTTAATTTTTTTATTTTCTTATTGTTCAATATATATATATATATATATATATACGATTTCCAAACGCCTTCCTCATTAAAGGGAAGAGATTTCATTTCTATGGTTCATGTTGGATTTTCATATTCATTATTGTGTCTGAATGCGTGGGTTATGTCTCCGTGTCTGGGTGAGTGATCTTTTTTACTGATTAAATCTCATTCAGTTTTGGCTTACTGTCTGCTGTTTGTGCCACCATTAGGATTCCGGGGTTTTCATGGGTGGCTCTTTGTGTAATTTATATTCACTAAGTATGCCTAAATTCCTTTTTATACGATGAATATGGGTATTTATTTTAAAAATGAATTTTAACTCAGATTATCGGTAATTTTGTTGGCACATAAACGAAAAGGATGCATTTAATGTTATCAATACTATGATTCGCTTGGTGGAAATGTTAGCTTCAGAGAAATTGGTATCGTTTTCCCTGATAGTTTTATTGTAGTAATTAAACCACAGACAGAATTCTGTACCACTTTCACCGATATAATTTCCTTCGTTGCATTTGTTGCAAAAGACTAAGTACATTATAGTTGATCTGTCACAAGTCAAGGGAGGGAGGTGGATTACTTCGGGCGTGTCAGGTGGGGTAAAAACACTATCGGTGATATGTTTACAATTTTGACATCCGGATTTATTACATGTTAAGTTGCCTTGATGATCAGGTAGGTTGGGTAGTCTAGACGTTGGAAAGAGTGACTGTAAATTTTGAGATTTTCGCCTGGCGTTAAACAGTAGCCAATAAATATCGTTATGGGGTCAAGTATTAGCTTCTGGAAATCAGTTTGTAAAATTTTAGATAATTTTCTGAAAGTTAATTAAAATCAATCAATAGCTGGGGACCGGACCAGATGTTCAGGCTGCAGGGATCTAATCTCATCTGATCTGAAGGCGAAAGTTTATTTGCTAGGAAAGCTGCCATATTTCTATTTTCCCAAGCTATACTTTTATCATTTTTAATGATTTCACCATAAGCAAGGCGATAATGCCACTCAGACGCAGTGGTTACAGAGAGTAAATTCTATCTATTTTAGTTATCAAACATTTAACCCTGATGAGTATTTCGATTCAAAACCTTTGAGTCATCTAACCAAATAAATTCCATTAAATTTAATTGATATATTGAATAATATATATATATATATATATATATATATATATATATATATATAGAGAGAGAGAGAGAGAGAGAGAGGAGGGACAGACAGAGAGACAGAGACAGAGAGATAATAGTAGTAGTAGAACACAATAAAATCCAAAATTACCTCATATGGGGAATAGACCTATTTCAGCCGACGAAAAGTTTGTCAGTCTTATTCAACCTCGATATATAGACTGAGTTCGTGTCGCTATTAGAAATTTAACTGTCGACAAATTAATACAGAATTTATCTATTCCAATGTTTTTAAATGTTTTTAACTCTTTTTAAATGTATTTTTAAATATAATTTTACTTAAGTTGTCTAAATAAACTTATTTTTAATTTATTAAATGTATCTTATTTTTAAATATAATTTATCTTTGGAAGATTATTTTTAAGTGGGAACTTGTATTTTAAAACTTAACCTTATCTATATCATTTTTTAAAATCCTCTTTTTGATGCTCTCTAAGTTTCAAATTAACACATCATTCTTCAGATGAGCCCAATTTAATGCCATAACCTTAAGATCCGGGTTTAATTATATGAAACCACTTCTCTTTAAGGCTAATAACTTCCACCCTCACCTGACCAATATCTCGTGCTTTTCCTCTGACTGGAACATTGAAATGGATAAATTAGTATTAATTTTTGGACAAAACTCAGTCTATATCCCGGGGTTGAATAAAACTGACGAAGTTTACGTCGGTTGAAATATGTCTATTCCGCATATGAGGTAATTTTGGATGTAATTGTCTACTTATTTGCTCTGTAATAATAAATACATTGGGCTCCTTTTGTGGATCGGTTTTAATATTTTATATTACTAGGATCCACTTGGATTATATACCAACGGATTTGTTACTTTTACTATCTCTCTCTTTCCCCCTCCCCCCCCCTCTCTCTATACATATACATATATATATATATATATATATATATATATATATATATATATATATATATATGTCTGATTGAATAAATTATAGACATTATCTCTGCTAGTTTTTAATAAAATCTGTTCATATAGGATTAAATATTAAATAATTATATAAGCCACACTACAACATGTTTGACACGAAGACTCACTGTACACTATTCTGACTATAGCTCAATTAAATATTCATGGAGACCTACCGGACACTATTCGTAACATACTTGTTGACAGCACTAATATAATAGCATCATCTACATGCAAAAAAAGCTAAAAATAATGGAAGCCTTATTAATAAAAACAAAAAAAAACATTTAATAATATTAATTTTGAACATGGACACAATTTTTTGACCATGTTTTGAAAAATGAATGCATTTTATAAAACATACATACAACAAACTATTTCTTATTTAAAATACAAAAGGACAACTTATTATTTATTTATATTGTCCTTTTATGTAGTTATCGATATGTTCTGATCCTCATCTAATATTCCTCCTCCTCATAACTGTTCCTCTCTGTGCCGCATGTCATTTTAGGGATGGACACATTCAAAAGGATCTATTAATAATACCCGTCATATCCGACTCACACATCAAAAAACTCTGAAAAGCAGAACATGATCGCTTCGATTGTTCCCTTCTAAATCGATAACATGATCTGCTCTGAGCAACATTTCCGACTGAATTTACGCTCAACTGCCACAGATGATGCCTTATCCAATCCCGGTCTGTGATGCCGGCCAATAAAGTTGAATTGGAACCATTCCACGATATACAGTCGTCGCTGTGGGCTGCCTCGGCTGTTTTCAAGCCAATACCACGGCACACAACGCCTCGATCTCTCACTAAAGGCATGGTTTTCTTATAATTATAATTGGCACAACGCAATGGAGTCTTTATCAGCCAATTTTATTTTATTGTCTCCAGTAGGGAACTGTTGCCGACTATTTGTCAGTGACAGCATGAGTACAATGAGTGAGCGAACTTCCCTACTCCCAACTATTCGCTATCAAGCCAAATACCTCACTGAATTATCTTGGAGGTAGGAACTCGTTTGTTAGCAGGATATCTCGTTGTTTACTTTTTAGTCAGTTCACGAGCCAATTAAAAATAAAACACTATATCTTGCTTCTTTTCGTTTTTTTTATTGCGAAACTTTTGATCATCAAATGACCCTGTCAAATAAATCGTATTTCAGAAATCTGGTACATTTCCAACAATTCGTGTGGCTTTTTTCATTAGTTAGGAAATATGATTTTTTCTTCTTAATTCTTAGCCTTAGATTATTCTCCTTATTTTACGCTTTGATAACTTGTTTATTTTACAATGTTATGCCACTGATAGTCATCCTGGGCTTCATTTTTTTTCTGTTCATAGAAAATAGACAAACTAAATACATTGAAGATATGTGATTGTGTACAAAGAGATTCTGTGACCGGAAATCTTTTCACGGAATGGATATGAGACCTGAGAACCACTACCATAACCAAATCTCTTTCTGTGAACAGTTGTATTTTCAGTAACTCCAAAAGTTTTTGTTTACTTAAATAGATTTTATCTTACTACTGCATAACTATGGCTTTCACACCTCCAGTCCTTACTCCCTTCTTCTCTTGCTTTGTATGCCTTTCTTTCAGTTTGTGTTTTTCTTTCTTTCTTTCTTTCTTTCTTTCTTTCTTTCTTTCTTGTGTTTTACGATTTTTTTTCATTTCCTTCTATGCTTTTCTCTCTTGATCACTCTTGCTCTATTTCTTTCTATGTCTCTCTATCTATCTATCTATCTATCTATCTATCTATCTATCTATATATATATATATATATATATATATATATATATATATATTATGTTTTTTTGTCGTTTGGTATCAACTTTCGCTTCCTTGACCTTTCTCGCTATTCTTCACTTTCCCTATATTTAATTTTTTTTTCTTATTTTCTCTTTCTCTTTTACTCTCTCTCTCTCTCTCTCTCTCTCTCTCTCTCTCTCTCTCTCTCTCTCTCTCTCTCTTACAAGAGTTCCCCAAAGCTTCTCCTTCACAACGAAAAAGAAATTGAGAAAATCAGCACAGATGGCCATTCAGACTTAAGGGAAATATAACTATTGTAGACTTGTTTTTAGCCAGATGTATCTTAACTGTAAATAAGACGAAAAATGAGATTACAATTCCCCTTCATAAAAACAAGGGATTTTCGCGTTTTCTGAGAGATTGCCTCTTCAATAGAAATAATCAAAAAATAATTCAATTTTTATATTGGCGATGCAAGCATCACATTATTTCGTAGGTTAACTTAATACTTATCTAAACTTAAAGCAATTTATACTCATATTGATAAACAACAAAAGATGAAAATATTCATAGATAATACTAAAATACCTTTGAGGCACTCAATATAAAGAAAGACACAAAATACTTTAAATATCTTTCCCCGGCTTGGACAGTATTTTAAAATAAACCTATCTTCGTTCCTTAGCGTTATGAAGACCTCTAAAAACGATTCTAGAAAACCACATAACTTACAAATTTAGATTAAAATTTGACATTCCTTAAAGTGACAGGATAAATTAATAAAGAAAATGTCTTTACGATACTAAAAATATTAAAAATGACCAAAGACAATTGAAAGTATAGATGCAGTTTTGACAGTATATAACTTATATTCAGGTAAAATTTGCATGAATTATGCACGAATAGTTATGGTGTTACTTAAATACCTTTTAAATATTTTCTTGGCTTTTTCAATCATTTAAAAATCGACTGATTCCTTTCCCCTAAGTAAATTGGTATGCTTAACTTCTAAATTACTAACTTTTACTTAAAAACGTACTACCATAGTTAGGGAAGATATATATTCATACTTTTCCCACGGTATTTGTGTGTAAGAGACTATAACGAACCCGACTGGAATTAGAACTCGGCTCTCTGATTAACAATACTGAGACATTATCCATTACCCCACCTGCACATCCAGTCTTACAGCACCTACTATTCCCAAGCGGCTACGCATTAATGTACTGACCAAGCTCGACGTTGCTTAACTTCTGTCATCGTACGAGAGGCTGTGTTTCAACGCGATCTGGTCGTAAGCCCTTTATTATGTAACCAAATCCTGATTTTTGTCACAATGTAAGAATACCACATCTATTCCAATAGCCAACCTAAAAGCCAGCCAATACATTTTCTTTTCCTTAATGGAATGATAGTAACCTTAACTCTCTATGCACTTGTCGTTAAATTTTTCACATAGGACTTTTTTTACAGTTAGACTCACCATGTACAAAGACCGGGGGGAGGGTAGATGGTTACGTTAAGGGGTAGTCCATATGGATAGGAGGGAAAGGTAACGGCTGGCCTGAGATTTGAAGAAGTTAAGATTGTAGTGGTCGGGGAAACATCCTCTTGGGAGTCGGTTCCACAGAGCAGTGGTTCGCAAGAAGAAGCTGTTCGAGTAGAACTTATTTCTCGCCCATCGAATACGGAGGAAATGTGGGTGGGGTGCAACTATGTAAGTGGCATGGCGGGTCCTAGCCGTGAAGGATAGACCTGACGGAACCAAGGAATGTAGTTTGCCTGAAAATGTTCCCTAGAGCAGTGAGAGATTTGCCACATCCCACTTACGATAGAAAATAATTCTTCTTCAACAAGGACTCTGAGTAGTTGCAATATTGTAAGTCGTAGTAATGGCGTAT